GGAACATCTCACGAGTAGAAGGAAAAATGGATTCAATAAAATTTCAGCAAATTTTGGATGGTAACTTGATGCCATCTGTGAAAAAGCTGAAGTTAAAGAGAGGATGGCTTCTACAAATGGATAATGATCCTAAACACACCTCGAAATCCACGGGGGATTACATCAAGAGGCGTAAACTGAAGGTTTTGCCATGGCCTTCACAATCTCCTGACCTCAACATCATTGAAAATCTATGGATAGACCTTAAAAGAGCAGTGTGTGACAGACAGCCCAGAAATCTCAAAGAACTGGAAGACTTTTGTAAGGAAAAATGGGCAAAGATACCTCAAACAAGAATTGAAAGACTCTTGGCTGGCTACAAAAAGCGTTTACAAGCCGTGATACTTGCCAAAGGGGGCAGTGCAAGATATTAACTCTGCAGGGGGCCCAAACTTTTGCAGACACCATTTTTTTGTTTTCTGTTATTTTGAAAGTGTAAATGATGGAAATAAAATCTAAATTTTGTTGACATATTATAAGAATGTCTAATCTGTAATTTGATGCCTTTTGGAGATTTTTCCATCTTTCCTTGGCTTCTTTATGCACATTAATACAAATTTTTAGCTGGGGTGCCCAAACTTTCCATCCCCACTGTAAATATATATATATTTTTTTTTTTTTTTTTTCCCCTCTCATTGTCTCCCTGGAGGATATGATCCTTTCACTTCTGGTCCCAGTGATCTCATTGTAGTTGCTGCTCATTACTTTTTTCTACATAAATAAATAAAGAAATTAGGTCACGCATCAGTTATATAACAAATGTAGCCACATAACATCTTTAGCCAAGGGCACATTGTCTACATAATTTGTTTTTTCAGTTTTGGGCTTCCATGGATTAAAATGAGGCTTTGAACTGTTGGGTACACACGGACAATTATCCAGGAACACAATACAACAATAAAATTGATTTGGTATGAAGTCAATAAGCATACAACAGCTAAAAGAAAACAAATAAAATCCAGGAGAAGTCTCATTATCATGATCCTGGTGGCCCGGATGTGTCCCTGGAGCTGAGATGACGTTAGGGGAGACCACTGAGGTTTATCCTCCAGACGTGTCTCAGCAGTGATGTGACACATGGACCGATGCAGAGACAACTCAGAGTGATAGGAAGAACACATCCAAAAAACGAATTACACATTAAGAAATTAAAATTTATATTAATGTAATAAGCACTTGCAGTTGTTAAGAAAGTTCCATTTTTTATAAGATTGACTTCTGTTAACACAGGAAAATGGCAAATTGATTAGCATTGAACCAAGAACTGACCCCAATATGAGCTGAGGAACAGAAGACAGGAACATGGCTTTCATCCTCAAAAGATAAGGGTGGGAGAAGTTCACCAATCGGACATAGTAGAACATGGAGAGCCAAGCGGTGTTCCAGACACTGGCATAAAAGAAAGAAAACTGTACAGTAATCAGTGGTAGAAATATGTTCTCACCAAGGTTGAGGAACATCTCGTGAAGGTCCATAATGCTGCCCTGCAGGAAAATATTCATAAGTGCTATAGACATTTGGATTTGGTCACAGACAACAGAATTTCTGCTGTTTTTTTCCATTGTAGCAAGTACGAAGTCAGAAGTAAAAAATTTATCATTGTCCCGGATAGACCCATGATAAGTGAAAACACAAATTTGAACAATTCAAGAGCTGTGAACATCTTGAAACAAGGAAGAGTGTTTGTTGGATTCTCCTTCTGCAGAGATAAGCTGGATACAATAATAGTACAGATAAAAAGTGAAATCTGTCAGAAGAGATTCAGAGAAGACGTATCATGGAATGCAAATCTCTCCAGGATCTGGTTGCCGGGTTTGATGGACAGAGAACATCTCATCAGGTTTCATAGGAAATGATTTGTTTCCTCTGATCCTTGTTTGGTTTGTACCGGTAAACTTAGGAACATGTTCAACAGAAATAAACCACATTCTATAAAAAAAAAATGTTGAACACTGTTTTGTTTATTGTAGCATCTGCCTTGTGTCCAGGATGTTAACAAACAGGACTCTTAAAGTAGACATAAACCCCTGATAGATGACTCTTGGTTTGCTCTGTGTACTGTGTATTATAAACAATTGCTTGTTTTCTTCCTTTTTCCAATCTTTGTCACATCTCAGGACTGGTGATGCCATTCAGTCTCTTTGAAGCCACTTCCTGTCTACGTTTATACTAGCGATGGCTGAATGGTATTTCTCTTGGCAGGTTTCCTCATGGCGACAGCGGTGGACCATGCCTGAATAATGTGTGTTGAGTTGCTCACCTATAGTCCAGGCTCTGGAAAAAAAACCCTACTTTAATTTCAGGATCCACCTAGATGCCTGGAACTTCAGCTGAGTCAGCCTCTCTGCGCTTCACTGAGATCCTAAGCCATCTGTTCCCAACCCCACCACAGCCCGGCACTACAGTGAATACTGGAGAAGCAGAGTAGAAAGCAGTGACTGGCATGTCCCCATAGAAGATAAGGTATGGTGAGTGTAATACGAATATGGTGAGGGACCATCTCTTGTTCTGTCTTGTCCTGAGACTTTTCTTGGCCGACTATCCAAAATATGTCAGCATGTGTATGGACACACAGGTTCTTAGTGTAAAGCAGAGACATGTACCACATAACCTAATATCACTGCTGAATTATCACCAGACAGTCCTGGGAGTGGAGATTGATGCTGGCCAGGCCATGTTTGATACGTGGAGATGTCCTCTGTTTGAAGTTTGGAACAACATATAACCCCAACCATAAGGAAGGTTAGATTGGGGTGAGGACATCATCATATTGAATTCAGGAGAAAATAATCCTTTTTTTTCAACACTACTTTATAGGCTGTGGAAACTATTGACATGCTTTGTAGAAGATGCTGGCCATTGTTTCCTTGCCTTTGTATGTTATATTTGAATTATAATAAAAACTTTACTGTAAAAAAATATATATTTAGATTTTTTTAACCTACGCAAAATCTGGAAAAAGAGGTCAAATGCTTTATG